AAAAGAAGTTGATTTGGTTTTGGTTTAAGATTTAAAGATTATCTCAAGATGGTAGTTGGGGGGGTTCATCCAGCGTCTGTGGTTCCAGAAAGTCTAGAGTCGATGACAATTAAAATTTTCTTCTGTATTTTTCCTCTTTTCATCAAGATTTTTCTATAGAGACTTTAATCAAAATATTCAGTTGTAGCTGGGCACCATTCATTTTTTTTTTTAAATGCATTTTATTGAAACATAATTTATGTACAGTGAAATACACAAAACTAACGTGACGTGGGTTATTGCTTTCTTTTTTGTTTTTTTGCAGTGTTCCCTCCCCTCCCCTCCCACCCTTGGCAACCAACAAAGTTTCCCTCCATACATAAACCTTCCCTTGACCCTCCACAACAACAAACTAATACTATATTTGTTTTTCTGTGATTGACTTATTTCACTCAGCATAATGTCCTCCAAGTTCATCCATGTTGTGCAGTGTTTTTGCAGACTTTACATTATTCTTTAGTGCTGCATAGCATTCCATTGTGTGTATGTACCATAGTTTGGTCATCTACTCTTCTGTTGATGGGCACATAGGTGGTTTTTATGTTTTTGCTATTGTAAATAGTGCTGTGATGAATGTGAGTGTACATTTATCTGTTCCTGTCTGGCTCTCACCTCTCTAGGATATATACCTAATGGGTATATATCCATTAATAATGGGATTGCTGGGTCAAATATGGTAGCTCCAATTCCAGGTTTCTAAGTAATCACCATACTGCTTTCCACAGCGGTTGTGTCAGTTCACAGTCCTAGCAGCAGTATATAAGAGTCCCAGTCTCTCCACATCCCCACCAGCATTTGTTATTTTCTGTCTCATTGAACCTTGCCATCAGTGTTGAGGTGAGATGGTATCTCGTCGTTTTGATTTACATCTGGATGATGGCTAATGATTGTAAGCATCTCTTCATGTATATGAAAATCCTCCTTGGTGAAGTGTCTGTTGATGTCTTCTGCCCATTTTTCAATTGGATTGTTAATCCCTTTGCTGTTGAGGTGTTGGAGTTTTCTATGAATATAAAGGGGTAAGTCCCTTGCCAAATAATGTAATTATTGACAAGTATGAATTTGTTGCTGTCATTTTGTTATGTGCTTTTTCATGTTGTTTATTTCCTTGTTCTATATAATTTTCTGTGCTGAGTTCATTTTGTTTATGAATTGTGTTATAACTTCCTTCATTGCTATTGTTTTAGTATTTGCTAAATATTTGTGCTGGTCTTCTTTTTCATTTTGATGTGAAGGTTTATTATTTTTCTTTGAGGTTCCCCTGTGATTTATAGTTTTCTTCCCAAGTTTAGGCAGTCCATTCTATCTTGTAGTTGTCTTGACTTCCCTACCACTTAGAAGTTCTGTAACGACACAGTTTTTTCCCTCATTTTGGTTTGTAGTTGTCCTCATTTGTCAATTAATGTCTCCGGTTCCCTGTTCACAATCTTGTAGGCTTATTTACTTTGAATACTTCTGTAACTGGGTTGGTTTCTGGATTATGTCATCATGTGTGTTAATGGTCAGTTGTTGTTTGGTGGTGTTGCTTCTGTCCAAAGGACTCCCTTTAGCATCTTTTGTAAGGTTGGTCTGGTTTTATCAAATTCCCTTACTTTCTCCTTATCTGGAAATGTCCTAATTTGCCATCATATTTGAAGAACAGTTTTGCTGGGTATTTGGAAGGAAGGTTGAGCAATCTACTTCCATAGTGATACTGCCTCGGAAACCCCAAGGAGGGGTCGCTATATGAGTTGGATCAGACTCTACGGCAGTGAGTTTGGTTTTTTGGGGTTTTTTTTGCTGGGTAGATAAATCTTAGTTGGAAATTTTTCTCTTTCTGGGTTGTATATATACCATCCCATTGTCTTCTTGCCTGCATGGTTTCTGCCAAGAAATCCAAGCTTAGTCTTACTGGTTGCCCCTTGTAGGTAACTTTTCGTTTTTCCTGTGCTGCTTTCAGGATTCTTTATTTATCTTTGGTTTTGGTGAGTTTGATGATACATTTTGGTGATTTTCTTTTGGGGTCTATCCTGTTTGGTGTTCATTGGACTTCTTGAATGGATATATTCTTACCTTTCATCATTCCAAGAAGATTCTCTTCTAACAAATCTTTGACAATTTTCTCAGTGGTTTTATTCGTCTCTTCCTGTTCAGGAATTCCAATGGCATGTAGATTATTCCTTTTGATGGTATCCCACGTGAACCCTAGGCTTTCTTCATTTTGTTTTGATCTTTTTTCTGGTTGATCCCTTTCCAAAGAAGTATTGAGGTATTTGCCTTCAATTTCACTAATTCTATGTTCCATTGATACAATTCTACTCCTTTGCCCATTCAATGTGTTATCTATTTCTGAAAATTTAGTATTAGTTTTCTGGTTTTCTATCTGCAGATTTTGTATCATTTCTAATTTTTCATTTATTTAGTCATTTTGTTCTTGTATTGTCTTTTGAAATTGTTCAAGGGTTTTCTCTGTGTTTTCCTCAATTTTATCAGTGTTTTCCTTGATCTCTCTCTCAATCAGTTGAAGATAACCTAAATATAATTCTTTTGAAGTCCTTATCAGGGAATTCCAATGCTGTGTCTTCCTCAGGGATGTGTTTTGGGTCTGTATCCTGGTCCCTTGTTTCTCCTGCTTTATCTTGCTTCTTTGTGTGGACTGTGATGCTCTCTTGTCTTTAGGCATTGTGACATTTTTTGTGTTTATGTTTAATTGGTTATTGTTTGTTGGAGTGACTTGCCCGTGATTTTTGTTTTCTTTGTATGTTATCTATGTAAGCAGAGTATTGTGCTGTGCTCCTCTATTCGCTAATTGGTAGTACTTATTCACTCACTACCTGTCTCCTTTCCTGTTGTCAGCCTCCTGCATGTCCCTGCCATCCTTGGCAAACGGAGCCTATTTTTAGGTCCCTGGAATCCGGATGAGAATGCTGTCACTTAAAAATCCAAAATGGTCACTGCTTTTAAACATTGAAAATGGCTGTGCCCTTGGTCACTTTAAATTTCCAAAATGGATGCTGCTTGTAAACATTCAAAATGGCTGCGCCCTCTGGACAGCTGAAAGTCCACAGCTCAGGTTGTCTCTCTATTTGCTTTTTCCCTTCCTAGTCATAGGCCTCGGAAGGAAGGTTGGGCAATCCTACTTCCGTAGTGATACTGCCTGGGAAACCCAAGGAGGGGTCGCTATGAGTCGGGGCCGACTCGACAGCACATAACAACAACAACAACAAGTCATAGGCCACCAGTGCAGTCGTCTCTGCAGTCCTTGGTGACCAGGGCTGATCTTTAGGTCAATTCTGAGGTCCCAACACCACTTGGAAATATTCAGGCTGTTGGTCCCATCACAGTAGCTGACAGTCCGCTGCTCCCACCATCTCTGTACTCTTTTCATTCAGGTTTTTCCACTAGTTGGTTCCTAATCCACCTGTGTATACTTCCAGGATTATCTTCTGTATCTCTGTCAATTGGTTTCTCTTTTCTTTGTTAAAGAGGGTCTGTGTAGCTTGTCTGCCTATCCCTCCACCCTACTGGAAGTCTCGCTATCCAGTTCTTGTCTCATGGAGGCAGTTAGCCAAACATTCCACATCAGCTACTCCTGCCTCTCCTCCTTCCTCTGTTGCTCCCGGCAAATAGAGACCAATTGTTACCCTTAGATGACCACTTGCAAGCTTGTTACCCTTAGATGACCACTTGCAAGCTTTTAAGATCCCAGGCAGTAAGCAGTGAAGTAGAAGGTAGAACAAAAACACTGAACATGTTGTTAGGCCAATTAACGGGGACGTCTAATGAAACATGATGCTAAACCTCTACTAAGAAACCACATCCCGTGAGGTGTTTGGTTGTACCTAAGCAATTTCAGGTGCTACTCTTTTTTTCAGTCTTTTTTCTTTGTTGGAAATATATCTGTCACACAACTTGCACAAGTTTAACTTTTTACAAGTATACAATTAAGGCTAGTCTCTGTATAACCTGTGCATCGCCTCCAGTTGTTAAATAACATTGTTAGATGTTTGAGAAATAAATCGACTTTTATAAAATGTTAAACTATGTGCTGAAGTAAGTAGTTTAAATGTTACTTAATGTGGTGATTTCGTGGGAAGCAGATTCCATGCCAATTCATGGATTCTAATACCTTAAGTTCTTACAAATTAATTTTAATTACCCCTTGAAACTTACTTGTTGCCATTTCCTTATGAAAGTAGTAGATATTACTGTTGAGTCAGTCCTGACTCAATGACCCCTCCTTGGGTTTCTGAGGCAGTATCTCTACAGAAATAGATTACCCAGTCTTCCTTCTGAAGAGTGGCTAGTGGGTTTGAACCACCAGCCTTCTGGTTAGCAGTCAAATGCCATAGGCACTATGCTGCCACAGCTCCCATGAAAGTAATAGATAGTCCTCAGATAATCAGTCTAATCAAGTTACTTTCAACTGGTTTTTCCATATTGTATTGGTTGTATTAGATGAATTAGATTTTTCTTTTCGCCTCTGTTGATTTAAATTCTGCTTAGGCATTGTGTGTATTCAGAATGTTCAAGAGAACTTTTTAAAATGAAGTTACTACTGTCTTCACAGCTGCTTATTACCGTGGCATTCAACCAACCTGTTAAGCTTTATTCCATGAAATTTCAAGGGCCGGATAATGGTGAGTAAAGGGCAGTTTTTCTTTAAATTCCTGCTTTGTAGACCTTTTAGCACATATTTAAAACTTTTTTAATAAATAGAAATAGATATACCTTATTTTGGGAAAGAGTAAAATTATGTCATCTTTAATTGTTTCTGAAACAAGCCAGTGATATAAATGAGTGAACAAATGATATGAGATTATTAGGGGCTGAAAGCAAGGGAAAAGGATTTGTTTTAAATTCCTTCTATTATAGATGATAAAACTGAGGTTTTAACTTCCTACTGGTGCTTCTTGTTGTTGTTGTTATGTGCCATAGAGTCAGACCTGACTCACAGTGACCCCTCCTTGGGCTTCCGAAGCAGTATCACTACGGAAGTAGATTGCCCCATCTTCCTTCCGAGGAGTGGCTGGTGGGTTTGAACTGCCAGCCTTCTGGTTAGCAGTCAAGTGCCTTAGCCACTATGCTACCAGAGCTCCCTACTGGTGCTTTGTTGTTGTTGTTGTTATTTGCCGTCAAGTCACTCCCGACTCATAGCGACCCCTCCTTGGGTTTCCGAGGCAGTATCACTACGGAAGTAGGATTGCCCAACCTTCCTTCTGAGGAGTGGCTGGTGGGTTTGAACCGCCAGCCTTCTGGTGAGCAGTCAAGTGCCTTAGCCACTAATGGTTTTGTCTTCTTTGTATCAGTGCCTGTTGTGATATTGTGTTGTAAACGTGACTGTAGAGCTGGAATTTCTATTCTCTGTAGAATTTCTTCCCTCCTTTTTTTCTGTTTTTGTTGAGCTTTTTGGGGGGGGGGCAGCTGGTATTTTATTTTTGTTTGTAATTGATTAGGAGGATAGCGAGGGTCCTGATTATTAGATTGTGTTACTTCTCACTTATTATTATAAAATTTTCCTATGTTGATAATATTACATTATAGTGATTATAGCTTTAACTCTGTAAATACAAAGTATTTTTAAAAGGGGATGTTGTAGAGAGGAGTATTTAAACAATGTGGATTTCTTAATATTTCTTAATTACTTACAAAATATGGGTGTTAGCTTGTACTCTGAAGTTAAAGGGACTAAGATGTTCTGTAACGTGGTCTTACCCTTGAGAACATCTCATTCTCTAAAATAAGATTTGGCAATTTGTGTAATTATTTCCCTTTTAGATAAATAGTGTCAATGATAATACTTTCCTCCTAAATAACAAAATGTAGTAATTTTTGGAACTGTAATATCTAACTCAAATGTTACTCCTCTTATGAAAGTTAAATTAACCTCCAGATACTGGCATAATCTATTGCTACCTTCCCTATACCTCTACACCGGTAGTATTATGTTTATCTCAATAAGGAGCTTTGGTGGCACAGTGCCTAAGGCATTTGACTGTTAACCAGAGGTTGGTGGTTCAAACCCACCAGCTGCTCTGCGGAAGGAAGATAGGGCAGTTGTTCTGGTTACCTATTGCCACTCTCACAGGAATATCCTGCATATGGGATGGCTTGACAAACAGGAGTTTATTCTCTTACATTTCGGGAAGCTAGAAGTCCGAGTTCAAAGTGCCAGGTTCTAGGGGTTGAGTGAAAGCCCCTTGACCTTGGGCTTCAGCTCTGCCTCCTACTCCCAGCCCACTGAAGGTAGAGACTACTCTTCACTCAGGCAGCTATTGGCTGCTGAGGCTAACAAGCCCAAGGTTGACAAATAAAACGGCACAGTCCCAATGTTACCAAACCACACGGCAGGCCATTAATTCAAGTCCATTGAAAGTCCCAAGGTTGGCAGAGCATGGCAGGCTGATGAACAACAACACAGCTACATGCATGGTTCAAGTGTGCCATAAGCTAGAGACCATTCCCAGAGCTTATATATGGGAAGCAGACCACATCCCTAAGGCGGCTGCTCTGCTCACAGTAGATTCCACCATGGAGTTGATTACCAGTTTTTCATCATGGGGAATACTACATCCAGCTGCCCAGCCACTCAACCAGGTCCGACAAAATTGACACACAAGCTTAACCACCACAGCAGTCTACTTCCATAAAGATTTGTTGCCTCGAATACCCCACGCGGGTCGCTGTGAGTCAGAATCAGCTTGTGGGAGTGGGTTTTTAGTATATTTTTTTGTAGTTGAGAGCAGGGACTCTGTGTGTGTGTGTGTGTGTGTGTGTTGTAATCCAGGGTTTAGTATAGTGCTAGCTAAATCTAAAAGATGTACTAAATGCTTACTGAAAAAGAAATGGATGGTTATCATAGTACTAAGATTTTCTTTTAAGTTCTAAACATGGAGGTCTGTGGAAGTATTTCTATCAGAGCTTTGAATTGGTTAAGTCTAGTTTGATCCCCTGTTGAAAATTTGCAGTGCTATCCCAGATTTCAGAGTCTGTATTTTACCAAGATCATCAAGGAATTATTTTTGTTTTTGTTTGTTTATAGTCCTTTCCTTTTCTTTATTTTCTTATATTTCTATTTCTTTATTTCTTTTTAATTTTAATTTTGTTGTTGAGAATATACATAGCAAAACATACACCAATTCAATGTGTTTGTTTCTATGTGTCCGTTTGTTTCTATATGTACGATTTGGTGACATGGAGTACATTTTTCAAGTTGAGCACCCATTCTCACCCTCCTTTTCTGACTTATTCCTTCCTCATTAACATAAACTCACTGCCCCATAAGGTTCCTGTCTAATCTTTCAGAGATAGTGTTGCCAATTTCGTTCTCTGCAAACTTGTTGCTCTCTAGTCAATTTTGACTCATATTGACCATTTAAAACAGTAGAACTGCCCTGTAGGGTTTGCAAGCAAGGCTGTTATTTTTACAGCAGCATGCTGCCACATACGTCTCTTGTGGAGCAGCTGGTAGGGTTCAAACCTTGCAAACCATGACCTTTTGGGTAGCAGTTAAGCACTTAATCACTGTGCCAGCAGGGCTACTTTGAGTCCATAGATACAGTTTTCCTACCTTCCCCCCAACCATCTGCAAAAAAAAAAAAAAAAAAAATCCAATGCCATCGAGTCAATTCTGACTCATACCAACCCGCATTGTCTGGTGGGTTTGAACCACCAGCCTTCTGGTTAGCAGTCAAATGCCTTAGTTACTATGCTACCAGAGCTTCTTCCTCCTTCTTAAAGGAGCACAATGCTCAAGACAGACCTTTTTTACTGTTGTGTGCCGTTGAGTTGGACCCGACTCACAGTGACCCCTCCTTGGGTTTCCGAGGCAGTATCACTATGGAAATGGGTTGCCCAACCTTCCTTCTGAGGAGTGGCTGGTGGGTTTGAATCACCAGCCTTCTGGTTAGTAGTCAAGTGCCTTAGGCACTAAGGTACCAGAGCTCCCAAAAGCCTACAGCACCCGGTATTCCCAGGTAGTCTCCCATCCAAATACTAACCAGGCCTGACCCTGTTTACCTTCCAAGATCAGACGAAATTGGGTGAGTTCAGGGTAGTATGGCTGTAGACATTTTTTCACTAAGTAAAATAATCGTTCAGTTTTAAGAAGACTTCAGGGGATATATATAATTTTTATTGTCATTTGGGTGACAGTTTACAGAGCAAATTCATTTTCTGTACAACAGTTCACGTACACTTTGTCTCATGACTTTGACTACAGTTTCCTACAATGCAACAGCTCTCTTCTCACTTCCTCCCCATAGTTACCTCTTCCCTGTGTCCTTCCCTCCCATGCATTCTTGCCCCCAAGCTGTCTCCTTGTGCATACACAGCCTTCAGGAGATATTTTTGTTGTAGGTGTAAAGATTATCTCAGGTCAATAATTTAGGGTTTCATCCATCCTCCATGGCTTCAGAAAGACTACAGTTCTTGAGAATTTTATAGCATTTGGAATTCTGTTCTGCATTTTCTCCCTTTTGATCAGGATTTTTCTATAGAATCTTTGATCAAGATGTTCAGTAATGGTGAGGTATCATCTAGTTCTTCTCAGAACTATTTTATTTATTTAACTATTTAACTATTTTATTTATTTTATTTTAATTTGTCTCATGGCAAATAAATCAGTTATTCATGGAGGCAGTTAGCCACACTTTGTTTGCTACTCTCATTCCTGACTCTCCTTCCTCTGTTGTTCCAAGTAAATAGAGACCCATTGTTTATCCTTACATGGCTGCCGGCAAGCTTTTAAGATCCCAGGAAGTACGCAGTGAACTAAGAGGTAGAACAAGAGCATTAAACGTGTTATTAGGCCAGTTAACTTGGATGTCCCATGAAACCATGACCCTAAACCTTCAAACCCAGGAACTAAATCCAATGAGGTATTTGGTTGTACATAAGCAGCCTCAGCAACAACTCTTTTTTTTTTTTTTTGTCTTGTCATTGTAACTATATCTGAAGAAGCTCTGGTGCCACGTGTGTAGGGCATTTGGCTGCTGACCAGAAGGTCAGCGGTTTACACCCACTAGCCGCTCTATGGAAGGAAGATGGAGTCTACTTCCATAAAGATTTATAGTCTCGGAAACCCAATGGAGCTCACTATGAGTCAGCATTGACTTGATGGCAGTGAATTTCGGTGTTTTTTTTTGCTAACTATTTCTGTTACACAACTTTTATCAGTTCACCTTTTTCCAAATGTGCAACTTATTGACAGCAATTAGAATAGTCAGCTGTGCAACCCTACCATTAATCAGTGCAATTTTTCTATCACTGTCAAACCCTCTTTTCTTCTCTCTCTTCTACCTCTGGTCACCACTAATAAACTTTGGTCTCTCTACATTTTTCTCTGTTCTTGTCCTTTTATATAAGTGAGTGAGGTCATAAAATATTTGTCCTTTTGTGATTGACTTACTTCCTCGGGATAATGTCTTCAAGCTCCATGCATACTGTAGCTTGTATTAACACTTCAGTTCTCTTACTGGCTGAGTAGTATTCCACTGTATGTATGTGTCACGTTTTGTTTATCCATTTATGTTTTGATGGGCATTTACGTTGTTTCTATCTTTGACTATGGTGGATAGTGCTGCAATGAACTTGCTGTACAAGTCTCATTTGAGTCTGCTTTTAAGTCTTTCAGTTATTTACTTAGGAGTGGAATTGCTGAGTCATACGGTAGTTCTATTTTTAGTTATTTGAGGAATCATCACGCTCTTTTCCAGAGCACTGTACCATTTTGCATTTCCACCAACAGTAGTTAAAGGTTCTGATTTTTTTTTTTTTTTTAACCATAGCCATTCTAGTGGTGATATAATGGTGTCTCATTGTGGTTTTGATTTGCACATCTCTGATAACTAATGACACTGAATATTTTTATTCTCCCAGTCAGTAGTATATCTTTTCACTCTTTTGGTAAAGTATTTTGATGAATAAATGTTTTTAATTTTTAAGAGGTCCCATTTATTTATTTATTTTATCTTTCGCTGTTTGTGCTTTTGTTACTGTTTTAGATAATCCATTACTGAAAGCTAGGCCTGATAGCATTTGCCCCTGCTTTCTTCTTAGGATTTTAAGGTTTTACTTTGCATATTTAGATCCTTAATCCATTTTGAATTTGTTTTTTTGTGTATGGTGTAAGGCAAAGATCCCATTTATTTTTAAATGTGGAAATCCAGTCTTCCCAGCCCTATTTATTGAAGAGGCTCTTTCTTCTCCATGGGATGAACTTAGCCCTTTGTCAAAAATCACAACTATAGATGAGTGGGCTAATTTCTGGATTTTCAGTTCTATTGCATTGATCTTTGCGTCTGTTGTCACACCAGTACCAGGCTGTTTGATTATTATAGTTGTACAGTTTGAAAATCAAGAAGTGTGAGTCCTCCTTCTTTGTTCTTTTTGTTCAGCATGTTTTTCAGCTTTTCAGGGCCTCCTGCCTTTCCATATAAAGTTAAGGATTGTTTTTTTTTTTATTTCTGTGAAGAAGGCTGTTGGGAATTTGATTGGGAATGCACCGAATCTGTAGCTTGCTTTGGGTAGTATTGACATCTTAACGATATTAAATCTTCCAATCAAAGAACATGGAACATCCTTCCATTTGTTTAAGTCTTTGTTAAGCAGCGTTTTACAGTTTTCATTGTCTAAGTCCTTCACCCCACTGGGTTTATTTATTTGTAGGTATTTTATTTTATTAGATGCTATTGTAAATAGAATTGGTTCCCCAGTTTCCCTTTCAGATTTCTCATTGTTGTGTATAGAAACCCAACTACTTGTTTGTTGACTTTGCACTCTGCAACTCTGCTGAATTCCTCTTAATAGAGGAATTCTGCTAAGTTTTAATAAAGTTTTCTTGTGGATTGTGGAATTTTTTTATATATAAGATAACACCGTCTGTGAATAGAGAGAATTCTAGTTTTTATTTTCCAATCTAGATATACTTTATTTCTTTTTCTTATTGCTCTGGCTAGGACTTCTAATATATTATTGAATAGAAGTGGTAAGAGTGGACACCCTTGCCATGTTATTTTCAAGAGTAAAGAAAGCTCACAGTCTTTCTTCAGGCTTTTAGCTTTTCAAATACTTCCTGAATCATATTAAGGAATTTCCCTTCTACTCCAATCTTCTTTAGGATCATCATCAAGAAAGGGTTTTGGATTTTAGCAAATGCTTTTTCTGTGTCCATAGAAATTATCATGTGGTTCTTTTCCTTTATTCTGATGATTATCATGTATTATGTTGATTGATTTTCTAATGTTGGGCCATCCCTACATTCCTGGAATAAATCCCACTTGGTCACAGTGTATGACTCTTTCAATATGCTGTTGAATTCTGTTCTCTGGTATTTTATTGAGGACTTTTGGATCTATATTTATAAGAGATCTTATAGTTTTCTTTTTTGGGGGGGGGTCTGTCTGGTTTGGTATCGGTTATTCTTGCTGCCTAGAATGTATTAGGGCAAAAGAATCACCTGGAGATCTTGTTAAAATGTAGATTACACTTCAGTGTATCTGGTGTGTGTGTGTGTGGGGGGGATTCTCAACAGGGGTGCAACCTGTTTGAAGCCCTGGTTCTATGCAGGTATGTACCTGGTATAGTGTAAATATAATGATAAAGGGAGGAAAATACTGTAGGTTAGAGTTTTTAGCATTTTTTGTTATTCTACCACTTTACAGGTCAAGGTCCTAAATACGTAAAAATTTTTATCAACCTACCCCGATCTATGGATTTTGAGGAGGCAGAAAGAAGTGAACCAACTCAAGCTTTGGAACTAACAGAGGATGATATTAAAGAAGATGGCATTGTCCCACTTCGTTATGTTAAGTTTCAGAATGTTAACAGTGTAACTGTAAGTAGTATTTCATTCAGATATGTTTAAAGGGTTTTTTACTATCTTGAGTATCCTACATAATTAGAAGTAATCTTTTAAAGTAGTTTTTTGTCCATCAGTTTGAGATGAGTTGAGATGTATAATGGACTAATTAAACTTTCTTTTTTAATTTATCAATGTACTGTAAAGAGGAGGGCCTGGTTTTTTTTTTTTTTTTTTAATACGTTTGTTTATTTTATTTTATATACATATATGATGTTGTTGTTGTTAGGTACTGTTGAGTCCGTTTTGGTGCCTAGCATGACCCTATGTGACTGAGTAGCTAACTGCTCTATAGGGTTTTCATGGCTATAATCTTTTCAGAAATAGTTTGCCAGGTCTTTCTCTTGTGGAACCATGGATGGGTTCAAACCACTAACTCTTCTGTTAGCAGCCAGGTGCTTGACTGTTAAGTGCCACCAGGACTCCGTGTGTGTGTGTGTGTGCATGGGTATGTGTGTTTATACACTATATAGAGAGGATCCTTGGTGGTTAAACACTGAGTTGCTAACCAGAAGGTTGATGGTTCAAACCCACTAGCTGCTGCATGGGAGAAGGATCTTTACAGAAGCTGATTGCCAAGTCTTTCTCCCATAAGACCACTGGGTTAGGTTCAAACTGCTAACCTTCTGGTTAGCAGCCAACTGTTTAACTGTATGTGCCACCAGAGTTCCGTATGTGTGTATTTATAGTGTGTGTGTGTGTGTGTGTACATACAAATATATATATATGGCAACTTTGGTTAAAAATTTATTCTAGAACATTTTTCCTTAAACTGAAGGTATTTGGGATTATCTTTTATATCTGATCATATGTGGTCATGCATTTTGTAAAGCCTTATTTTTCTAAGGCGTCCCTGGGTGGTGAAAACCAGCCAGAAAGTTGGCAGTTTGACACCACACAGAGGTGTCTCAGAAGACAGGCCTGGCCATCTGCTTCTGAAAGGTCACAGCCTTGAAAACTCCTTGGAGCTGTTCTGCTCTGCACATGTGGGGTCACCGAAAGTGAGAGTTAACTCGACAGTAGCCAACAACAATAAAGACAGTGTTTACTTTTTTAGAATATGGCATTGTTAATAGTCAATGTGGTGGTTATAAGTTTTACATTTTGTAAAATGACTTAAAATATATCTTAATATTGCATTGTGGGTGATAGGATTTTCTTTAAGTGATAAATTTTAATGTTATAAAAGTATCAGCTCATAAAAGACACCTCCTGCTTAGCAGTTATTAATTGCTTTTGAGAATTTTCATATTGAAACCCATATCCCCCAGGCCTTCAGAGGTGGTGGCAAGGGGGGTAGAATAGAATAGCAAAACAGCTAGAAAAAGAAGTGGGAACTAACACAGAGTCACTAAGGATAAGCCATGCCAGACCAATGTCATTTCTTTGTTTTACTGGAATGATTATGTTTTTTATAAATTAGAACATTGCTTTAGTGTGTGCTTATTTCTAGGCGGCTTTCAGTGGACTTTTCTTGAAATACACTAACTAATAATATGAATAATAATCAGGTTGAGTTTTAGTGTTCGCAATATCCTACCCATGTAAAATTGAAGAAAAAGTTATGTTAAACTAGAACCCTGGGTATCAAATATTTTCCTGACTTGATCCAATTCATATTTGTCATATACCCTCCGTTAATAATGCTTTTTTCTACTTCGTGATGAAGAGAATGGCATTTATCTGTTGGAAAAACCTTTTGCCCAGAGGTCCTCATAAAATCTCTGCCATCATTAAGAATAACTGATTATATAGTTTTCTCTTGATAGGCTCAAGTCTTTATGTTCTACCTTAATCAAAATTTTGGTCAGTGACTTCTGAATCAAGACACAGAAAGCATGCCTGTGCTTCTTTTGAAGGCATAAAACTAGAAGGCAGAGTGAACCAGAAGTAGGACTCAAAATGACAGCTTTGATCAGAGGTCCTAGACAAAGCAAGTAGATGGATTTTAAAAGCATTAATTCTGAATGATTGTGCTTGGTTCAAAGAACAAATGTATCTACAAGTAAACAGCAGGGGACCTGCTTTACTACTCCACTTACTGTTTGGGGGCTCAGAATTTATCATTGACAGTAATTTGAGATCAATCTATGGTTGCTTAAAAATCAACAAAAACTGATGAATGCTCTCTTAGAATGAAAGAAGTGTGTAGAGCAAATTAAGGGATGCAATATTAACTAGACAACATCTGGACTGTTGTGTTTTTTAAAAATGGGGTAAACCTTGAAAAAGGATCTATGCATAAAGCTGCTATCACCTAATGCTGAGGAGGGTATTTGTAATAGAAAGTAAATGGTCAAGCTTAAAAAATTACAGAGGATACGCTATAGTTAGAGTTGTATGCCTGTTTCCAGAGCTATTACTGCTTTTACTATTCTAGGACATCTCACTATTGCAGCATTTTCTGTAAAAGATTTTAATTATGATCCCTTCATACATCACAGTAAATTATCTTGAACTTGTGTATGTGGGTGGCTCACCAACTGTGGAGAAGATAAATATAACAGGGCAAACAGTGGAATTAATAGTACTATAGGAGAACAGTTCTAAATATTATATTGTTGTATGCCACTGAGTCGTCTCCTTCCCATAGTGCCCATTTGTACAACAGATACAACAGAATGAAACTCTGTCCGGTCCTGTGCCAGCCTCACAGTCACTCCTGTACCTGAGCCCATTGCTGCAGCCACCATGGCAACCCATCTTGTTGAGGGCATTCCCCTCTCTCATTGACCCTCCACTTTACCAAGCATGACATCCTTCTCCAGAGAATGGTCCCTTCTGACAACATGACCAAAGTAGGTGAGACGAAATCTGACCATTTTCACTTTCAAGGAGCATTCCAGCTGTTCTTCTTCCAGGACAGATTAGTTAGTTCTCTTAGCAGTCCATGATACTTTCAGCATTCTTCACTGAATCTAAGAAGGTGGACTATATGAAGAAGAATGTAACATCAAGATTGGAAGAAGGCTCATTAACAACCTGAGATATGCAGATGACACGACTTTGCTTGCTGAAAGTGAGAATGACTTGAAGCACTTACTGATGAAGGTTAAAGACTACAGTCTGAAGTGTGGATTACACCTCAGTATAAAGAAAACAAAAATCCTCACAACTGGACCAATAAAGAGCATCATGATGAATGGAGTAAAGATTGAAGTTGTCAAAGACTTTATATTACTTGGTTCTACAATCAACTCCAGTGGAAGCAGCAGTTAAGACATCAAAAGATGTATTGCATTGGGCAAATCTATTGCAAAAGACCTCTGTCAAGTGATGAAGAGCAAAGATACCTCCTTGAAGACTAAGATGCACCTAACCTCAGCCATAGTATTTTAAATTGTCTCATATGCATGTGAGAGCTGGACAATGAATAAGGAAGAACGAAGAAGAGCTGATGCTTTTGAGTTGTGGTGTTGGCGGAGAATGGCAATAATAGCTTTGGAAAGCAGCACACAACTATAACTAGAGTGTAAAAGGAGCTCTGGTGGCATCCTCTATGTTGTTGTTATTGTTTGGTGCCATCAAATCGCATCTGATTTATAGCGACCCTGTGCACAGCAGAAGGAAACACCGCCCAGTCCCACACCAGCTCCGTGATCCCTGCTATACTTGACCCCATAGTGACAGCCACTCTGTCAATCCATCTCGTTGAGGACCTTCCCCTCTTTCATCGACCCTCTACCTTACCAAGCAAGCATGATATCCTTCTCCAGGAAATGGTCCTTTCCAACAACACGACCAAAGTAGGTGAGACGAAGTCTGGCCATTCTCACTTCCAAGGAGCATTCCAGCGGCACTTCCCCAGGACATATTTGTTAGTTCATTTAGCATTCCATGGTACTTTCAGCATTCTTCACCAGCACCACAGCTCAAAAGCATCAGTTCTTCTTCGTTCTTCTTTATTCATTGTCCATCTCTCACATGTGTATGAGGCAATTGAAAATATTATGGCTTGTGTCAGGCGTGCCTTAGTCTTCAAGGAGACATCTTTGCTCCGCCGCACTTGAAAGAGGTCCCTTTTATTAAATTACTCCTCTATAATATTACTTCTCTATAATATTACATCTTGGAAGGAAGATGGGGCAATCTACTTCCGTAGTGATACTGCCTCGGAAACCCAAGGAGGGGTCGCTGTGAGTCAGGTCCCACATAACAACAACATAATATTACATAGGCGCTCTGGTAGCGTAGTGCCGAAGGCATTTGACTATTAACCAGAAGGCCGGCGATTCAAACGCACCAGCCACTCCACGGAAGAAAGGTTGGGCAATCTACTTCTATAGTGATACTTCATTGGAAACCCAAGGAGGGGTCACTATGAGTTGGGGCCAACTTGATGTCACGTAACAACAACAACAACATAATATTACATAATATGGATTAATCCTTACAAAGCATGGAAGATACTTTTATTAGTAATCTAGGGAGATCAAATAAACTTAAAGCATGTTTATGAAAAAAGGATTGTAACTTTAAATATAAAAATTTTTTCTTTTTTTTAAATATGTAGATATTTGTTCAGTCCAATCAAGGTGAAGAAGAAACAACAAGGATTTCATATTTTACTTTTATTGGTACTCCAGTCCAGGCAACAAATATGAATGACTTCAAACGAGTAAGTTTGTATAAATTATATTTAAGGGAAGTAAAAAATACCGTAAAATTTTTAAAGGAATACTTTCAAATATTTAGTCATCATTTTTTTAACTACAAAAGATCGCAAGTTATATTGTGTTATGAAATTTAATAAGAACTCTTGTGCTTAAGTTCAGCAAGTTCTCCTAATTACACTTAGGAATTCAACTAAGAAATAGGATTCTGTAATAAAAATGATAAATCTTACTGATACGGTGTCTAGTGATTCATGTAATGGCTTCTACATAAGAGTGAGGAGCTCTGATGGTGCAGTGTGTAAGGCATTTGACTGCTAACCAGAAGGCTGTGGCGGTTCAAACCCACCAGGGGTAAAGATAATAGTTCGGCTATATAGAAAATGACAAAGGATAATGGACAAACAGGAGCAAGATAAATACATTTTTGAAAGTAGTGAAGTTTTTAAGGCCTTTGGTGATGTTTTTATCATTATTTCTAATAAAAACATTTTAAATGACTTGAATAGTTTTAATCAGAAAGAATGGACTCAGTTTTACTACACTGAGATGCTCACTTTCCAAACCCCCTACATATAAATAATTTATTTATAAGGAAAAATTCTAAAATTTTACATAGAATTTATAGGGTCCATGAGATCTTTAGGAATAAGGTCTAATCCTCTTCTTAAGTTTGTGGAACTTCTAATTGTTAATAGTTCCTAAACCAAAAACCAAACTCACTGTCCTTGAGTCAGATCCAACTCGTTGCAACTCCTGCTTGGGTTTCTGAGGCAGTATCACTACAGAAGTAGATTGCCCAACCTTCCTTCTGAGGAGTGGCTGGTGGGTTTGAACCGCCACCTTCTGGTTAGCAGTCAAATGTCTTAGGCACTGCGCCACCAGAGCTCCTAAGAGCACTCTTAGATGCACAGTCAGATCCTGGAAGAGATAGAGAGCTCAGAATACCATTTGCTAGATACAGTTTAGATGAGTGGCAGGCAGCACCTAGGACCTTGACATCACCGTGTTTCTGATGTCTGCATCTGCTGTGCTCTCTAGACCTTGAAGTGGTAATAAGAGAAGGGTTTCCCTAGAGCTGCCAGTGCCTGCAGGAAGAAGCACCGAGTTAACACTTTAGACCCCTGTATGAAGATTGGAGCTGTCAAGTATCTTGAGAACTCTCACTCTTTCAGGTCATATATGCAGATCTCATTTAATTTAATTACAGGGAAACTCAAATTGTAAGACAGTTGTATTCTGTTGTACAAAACTTGAAAACCTTGAGAATAGATATTTTAGTGGTCATTTTTCAAATCTTTATCTTCTTGCCTCAGAGCGTAACTTCTAGAGCTACAGAAATAATTAAGTGCTTAGGTCCATCACGTCTAGATTTTGACATGTATTGGGACAGGTCAGAAGAAGCAGAAATTAAACATCTACCTCTCTTTATGATTCAAATATGTATTATTGGGAAGATGTGTGAACAACAGAGACTTCTTGGTTGCCTGCTTTGTTACTTTGCTCATTTGAATTAAATGCCAATAGACTTGGCATTAACTTTGCCTTGCATAGCTTGTTTTTAGCATAATTCTTTCTTAAGTCCTACTGTTTGCCCATGCCGTTAATTTTGTTGTAGTTTCCTGCTCCTCACCCTGGTTTATGCTGTTGGTGTTCGATTTCTGTTTTTCTCTGTAAGGAAGTACCATTCCATCTTTTGTCCTTCCTCTCTCTTACCAGCCTGCCATTTGATTCAAGTTTTTCTAATTTGCATCTAAGAATGTTACATCTTTGGTTTTAATATTCTTCTCCCATCCTTTCAAGCCTACTCTTTCTCTTTTTTGACTACCAAACCACCTTTTCTGAGCTGTCTTTAGGATAACAAAGGTATTGGGTCTGTGTTTGTTTTATAAGTTAGCTGTGCATTTGTTTAACTAATACTACTATATTTCCTTGCTTAAATTACTAGAATAGCAGTTCTTAAACTTTTTTGTCTCAAGACTTACATTATTTCCATGTTTCTGTGGGCTGTGTGTATCTAATATTTACCATATTCGAAATTAAAATGGGAAAAACTTATATATATTTATTTACAGATAAAAATAAACCCATTACATGTTAGCATAAATAACCTTTAAAAATTCAAAATAACCATATTTTAAAAAAAGTTTAGTGAGAAAAGCATTGTTTTACAATTTTACATATTTCTTCAATATCTAACTTAATAGAATTCTCTCATTGTCATATCTGCTTCTGTTTTCAAGTAGTTATGAAAATATGTCAGGTAGCCTCTGGAAAATGGCTGTGTACTTGTAAGAGAATGAGAATTTAAAAGCCACATAATGATTTAGCATAATTCTGAAGGTAGTTTTGACCTGACAGATGTCCTGAAAAGGGGTCTGGATCACGCTTTGAAATTGCCACAAGAATAATTTTTACACTGTAAGCGGACCTCCTTCTCAGTTTTCTGGGCTTCTTGGCCCCTTGTGTTTAATGTTTGATCAATTTTAATTGGTGAAATGATTTTTGAAGGCTGGTAGTTCAAATCCACCAGTCGCACCTTGGAAGGACGGTTGGGCAATCTGCTTCTGTAGTGTCACCGCCCGGAAACCCCAGGATCGTGTGAGTTGGATCCAACTTGACATCAGTGAGTTTGGTTTCTTATGATCGTATAAGTAGCTCTGGTGGCATAGTGGTTAAAGCATTTGGTTTAACCAAAGTGATTAAACTTTTGGTTGGCAGTTTGAACCCACCAGCCCCTCTGTGGGAGATAGATGAGGCAGTCTGCTTCCATAAAGATTTACAGCCTTGGAAACCCTATGGGGCAGTTCTGCTCTGTCCTCAAGGGTCACTATGAATCAGAATCAACTCGATGGCAGTGTGTTGGGGTGTTAGCAGTAATATTACTAGTAATACTATATTTCTTATTAAGAGTTTTCTGAATGAGATTTCTTGTGCTTGTAGTCATTCATTTTCTTGTAGGGTTAGTCCTTAAAAGTAGGATAAGATCTCATTGTTTTTAATACTGTACTAAGTCAACAACTTCAGAATAGGAAAAATGCAATAAAAAATTTGTAGTATTTAAGTTTAACTGAAATTATCCAGTTTAGCCCTTTTTAAGGGTTGCCTATTAAAAATTTCAAATGAGTTTGGTCTCTAGTAAAGAAAATACATGGTATGATACTTGTCCCTGTAGTATTATGATAGGTGCAAGGTATGCTAGTCATGATCTTTCCTGATGTCATTATCTTTCTCTAGTGAGCTTACATTCTTGAAGAATAATACACATATGTATTACAAGGTAAAATTAATCAAAAAGCCAAGTTCAAAGCCGTGTTCCTCCACAAAACAGTCTCATAGTTTCGCAACCCAGTTAATCTTTCCTTCTTCCCTTTAGTAGCTAGAAGATCATGGGAATGCTTTGTGGAGGAAGAGGGTCTTGAACTTAGCTTTGAACATACAATTTGGATAGAAGAATAGATACCCCAGCTAGAATGAGAAAGTAGCAATATAAGCAGAACATGGAAGGATGGACTCATTTAAGGAGAAGCTGAATATAGTACTTCTTTCCCTTTGCTTGTTAAGTCTGAATTTAAAAGGTATTACACATACTCATTAGAATTTGTTGTTGTTGTTATGTGCCATCGAGTCGGCCCCGACTCATAGCGACCCCTCCTTGGGTTTCTGAGGCAGTATCACTATGGAAGTAGATTGCCCCATCT